CTCTCTCTCTCTCTCTCTCTCTCTCTCTCTCTCTCTCTCTCTCTCTCACTCACACACACACACACACACACACACACACACACACACACACAAATAGGAGAGAAAAAAGACACTTTGCCTCACACCCACTCTAAAAAATAAAAATTCATGGGCATAATTGGCATCAAGGAAGCACAATAGCACTTAGAGCCTTCTGCCTCAGCTTGGCTTTGCATTCCAAATCAGCCCCTCACTCAGGCACTCAGGCATCGGTATACTGATCTTCTATTCCTCTGACGGGAGATTACCAGATCATCTGAATTAATGTAATTGGAATAAAATGGTTCAGTATGATAAAAATTCCAACTTCCAGGGATCTGTACAAACCCTTAATGGCGGTATTTATGAAACTGTTTTATTGTTTCTTCAGAAAAAGCACAGAAATAATAAAAATTAAAGAAAAATAAATAACAATTAACTTCCAACTTTATACTGTTGCACAAGTTCAAGAGAGTGACTGATGATTGGTTTTATCTCCAAGAGACGATACTGGATGGAAGGGGGGAATAGATTGACCTCACCCCTTTCCTAAGGGACTGTATGCTAAAATAATTAGTGTAGGTGAAGAAAATATTTGCTTGATAGGGGACTTTAATGCCATTGTTGATGTTAAAAAAGACTATATTAGTATGGAAGAGACTAGGAAGACAAAAAAGAGAATTTTACCAAAAAATGTTTTTGATTTAACACGAGACCAATTTGGAAGATATATGGAGGAAGAGGAATCCAAATGAGAAGAAATATACGTTTTATTCTAGTCCACAAAAATCATGGTCCAGAATCGATATAGTATGGGTTAATGGGGCAATCGAGAAAGACATTAGTGAAGTAGAGATAATGCCTCATATATGGGCTGACCATAGCCCGGTTAAAATTACATGGAAAGGACATAGTAAAAGGAAAAGGAGATGGATATTAAATTCACAAATAACAAAGGAAAAAGAATATATCTCAAGAATGAAAAATGAGTTAGAAACATTCTTTAAGGTTAATCTAAAGCAAAATACTAGTTTACAAAATTTATGGGACACTACAAGGCCTTCGTGAGAGGCATATCAATAGCCTATATAGCTAAGAAAAATAAAGAAAAATGGAAGAAACAGAACAAATTACAAGAAAGGATTTAAAAAATTGAATATGAGCTCCAAAAAGACCCAAAGAATATGGAAGTTAAGAAAGAAATAGGGATGATAAGACATGAACTAAATTTGATAGATACTGAGGAAAATGCACGTAACTTAAAAACTCTTAAGCATAATTTCTTTGAATCAGCAAATAAACCAGGAAGGTGGTTGTCCCATAAATTAAAAATAGAGAAAGAAAAAAGACTAATTCAGCAACTCAAGGATGAGGAAGGGACAGTGTATTATCAGATGGAGGAGAAAAAGAGAATTGAGCAAAGGTATTTTGGCGAGCTTTAGAAGCAAGAAGATGTTATGGAAGAAAACATTAGATACTACTTGGAGGGAAATGGTCTGAGCCCAATCTCAGAAGTACTTAATAAAGAAATAACATGAACAGAGTTACAAAAGGCGATACAAAAACAAAAAAATAATAAAACACCAGGCCCGGATGGTCTACCAGGCGAACTATATAAAAATTTATCTGAAATATTTGAACCAATACTACTGGAACTATATAAAGAATCATTAACGCAAGCTAGACGTCCGAGGCATACATCTCCTTAATTGCAAAAGATGGCACTGATCAACAATTAATTGCGAACTATAGGCCAATCTCGTTACTAAATACGGATTATAAGATATTTATGACAATATTAGCAGAAAGAATGAAACCAATTTTGAGTGAATTTATACACACAGACCAGAATGGTTTCCTGCCAAATAGACAAATTAAAAACAATATTAGGACAGTACTAAATTCGATTGAATACTATGAAGCTCATCCAGAAAAACAGGCAGCTTTAATTTTTTTAGATGTACAAAAAGCATTCGACAATCTTAATTGGAAATTCATGCTATATCAAATTAAAAAGCTGGTTTTTGGCACTAATATAGACACTACAAACACTACAAGAAATATACTCAAATCAAAAAGCAAGTGCATTATTAAATGGAGACCGTACTGAAGATTGTGAAATTGCAAAAGGAATGAGACAAGGGTGTCCATTATTGCCTCTGTTATTTATCTTGTCTTTAGAAGTGTTGCTAGCTGCAACCAGACAAAACCCAGAGATTTATGGAAATTAAGATTAGAAATGAGGAAGATAAAGTTCAGGCATTTGCTGATGATTTGGTATTTATAGTGGAAGATCCAATGAATTCAGGACCAATATTGTTGCAACATATAGAAAAATTTGGGGAAGTAGCAGGATTTAAAATAAATAAAAATAAAACTAAGATGATAGTCCAAAAACTGTACAACAAAGCAGAAAGTAGAATTAGAAAATACAATAGGACTGCAAATAGTAAAAAAGGTGAAATACCTGGGAATTTGGATATCACTCAGATGTTCATCATTAAAAGAGGACAATTATGTCAAACTGATTAAGCAAATCAGAAAAGAATTGGAATTATGGGCCAAATTGAAACTGTCTATTTTAGGAAGAATAGCAATGTTGAAAATGAATACCTTACCAAAATTAATATATATATTCCAAATGATTCCAATTAAATTAGGGAAATCTTTTTTTATAGAACTAAATAAAATGACTGGTTGGGCAAGCGGCCACGTATTAAAATGAAACTATTACAAGATAATAGGAGCAGAGGCGGTCTAGGACTACCAGAATGGGAGCTTTATCATCAGGCAGTGGTGTTGAGTTGGATTAAGGATTGGATTAAATTAAGAGACAAGAGAATCTTAACTTTAGAAGGACATGACCTCTTGATAGGTTGGCATGCATTTTTGTGGGAAAATAAAAGTAATATACATATCTATTTCAATCAACACCTAATAAGAGATTCATTGATTACAATTTGGGAAAAAATCAAAGGTAAACACTATACAGAAATCCCACGATGGCTGTCAACCATGGAAGCCATAATACCTCCAAATAGATTAGACCTACGAAAAATGGTAAGCTATGAAGAACTATTAGATAGCCAAGGGAAATTAAAATCAAACCAGGAACGGAAAGAAAATGGAATTATAATCGATTGGTGGCCATATTTGCAAATTCAAAATAAATATAAAAAAGACTCAAAAGATTTTGGATTTCACAACGGGCAGAACCAACTAGATAAAATATTAATGGGACTGGAACAAAAACTTATAACTAAAATATATATTTATTAGATTTTAAAATGGAAGAGGAAATAGTCAAAAGTACAATGATTGCATG